TTGAATAAAGAGAACACATGGACACAGGGAGCGGAACATCACACACTGGGGTCTGTTGGGGGGGAAATAGGGGAGGGACAGTGGGGGGTGGTGAGTTGGGGAGAGATAGCATGGGGAGAAATGCCAGATATCGGTAAAGGGGAGGAAGGCAGCAAATCACGCTGCCATGTGTGTACCTATGGAACAATCTTGCATGTTCTTCACATGTACCCCAAAACCTAAAATGCAATTAAAAAAAAAAAAGAATTGCACAATTAAAGAATGCTTTAAGTTTTTGTACTTTACTGAAAATTCTTTTCCCCAGGGTCTATAAAACATTAATTTGTTTTTATATTTTACTATTTTGTGTGTGTGTGTGTGTGTTTAAATCAATAAGTAATCTAGGACTAGCATTGTGTTTGCTAGACCTGATATTTGCTAGGTACATAAGGTTCAAAGTTTCCTTTATTTATTTGCAATTTTTTCCATAATATTTACATTTTTTAATGTTTAGATATTTTTCTTCAGTGAAGCACAAGTCTCTTTTCATGGTCCCTGATCAATTTTAAACAGTTCGAACAGTGGTGGCACTGTTAACTGCGTTCTGGGCAGTCTCTTTAGCTTGGTGGGCTTGTAGTACAGCTAGAGCTTCATCAACCTTAAACAGAGTGACTCTGGAGACTCGAACATAGGAAGAAGTTCTGAACATCAGTCTCTGACAACATGCCAGTGATTTTACCAGCAAGAGTAGGGTGTATGGCTTGAACAAGAGGAAACAGCCGTTCACCCAACATTTGCTTTTGCTCTTGAGGGGGGGCAAATGCCAACATGGAAGCAATCAAAGGTTCCTGACCTTGTACATGAACAGCAGGCTGCTGCATTGTAAACTGTAACTGTGCATGAAGATGTTGCTGAGGATTGCGAACTCCAGAAGTAGCTGCAGCAGCTGCAGCTGCAGCTGCAGGACATGGACCCATTGTCCGTGTTGATGTGTTAGCAACATACTGTGCTGACATGACTTGTGGAACCTGTGAAGAAGCTGGTGTCATAGTACTAAATGGTGGTCTAGAAGCAGCTGGGCCGATAGCACCTGGCATATTTTGGAATGGATGAGGTCTGGCACCCTGAGCAGTCCAGTGTGGACTTGGTCTTAGTTGAGCAATTTGGCTAGGAGGAGAGTATGCAGCACGGTTCTGAGTCTGTGGAATAGCGGCCATGAAGTAACCTGAAAGTGGTGCTGGCTGGTAGGGGTTGTTTACAGGGTTGGGCACAGCTTGTAAACTTGCCATTCTCTGCATATACTGGTTAGTGAGGTGAGCCTGGCGCAATCCTTTGCGCTGAGCTAAAGTTACATACAATGGCTTCGTGGCCACAATTCTACCATTCATTTCTGTAACTGCTTTAGTGGCTGCTTCTGGTGAGGAGAAACAAACAAAACCAACCCCTTTGCTGAGACCACTCTCCATCATAACCTTTGCACTAGTAATTGTACCAAATGGAGAAAACACTTTCTGGAGACGTTCATCATCAATACCATCATCAAGATTTTCCACATAAAGATTAACACCGTGGTATCTAGTGATCTTATCTTGCTTCACCTGTTCAAATTTGCACTTAAGTTCCATCTGCCGTTCCACTTTTTTCTGAGCTCGACCAACGTAAATTTGTTTTCCATTGAGGTCCTTTCCATTCATCTCATCCACAGCTTTCTGTGCATCCTCATGCCTTTCAAAGCTTACAAATCCAATTCCTTTGGATTTTCCACTTTCATCAGTCATTACTTTCACACTTAAGGGAGGCCCAAACTTGCCAAAGAGTTCCTTAAGGCGCTCATCATCCATGTCTTCTCCAAAATTCTTGATATAAACATTGGTGAACTTTTTTGCCACAGCTCCAAGTTCAGCTTCTCGTTCTTTAAGAGACTTAAATCTTCCAATACATACTTTGCGATCATTTAGGAGGATTCCATTCATTTTTTCAATGGCTCTTTCAGCTGCTTCCTGTGCCTCAAAGTGTACAAATCCATAGTCCTTGGAACCATTTTCATCACAAACCACCTTACATGAAAAGATGTTACCAAAAGCAGAAAATGTATCATACAATGCTTTATTATCAATGGATCTGTCCAGATTTTTAATGAATATGAAGCCCTCTCCACTTTTTCGAAGCGATGGATCATGCTGAGACCACAGGATACGTACTGGCTTGCCCTTTATAACATCAAAATTCATGGTGTTCACAGCACGCTCCGCGTCCGCCTGCTGCTGGAAGTTCACATACGCGTAGCCCAAGGAGTGGCAAGTGATCATGTCCCTGCAGACCCGGATGGAGAGGATGGGCCCGGCGGGGCTAAACTTCTCGTAGAGCATCGCCTCGGTCACGTCGGGGTGGAGGTCTCCCACGTAAAGCGAGGCCATGGGGTAGTGGGAGGACGCTGGAGCTCCACTCGGCACAGTTGGCCGCAGGGCCACAGGCCACGACCTTCCCGTCAGAGGAGGACAGCGAGTGCCAGGGCTGGAACCAGCGGAGAGTGGAGTTGCGGCAAGCGCAAGCTCAGAGGGACAAAAATCAACCGGAATCGAAGGCTGCTCAACCGCCACAGAACGGTGTCGATCCGCTGCTACTGGCTTCCGGCTTCCGGATCCCAGCTCCCGGCTTCCGGCTTCCGGCTTCCGGCTCCCGGTTTCCGGTTTCCAGCTTCCAACCTCCAGTTCCCGGCGGGGAGCGAGGATGGCGGTGTTGGCTCCAGGTATCGGGAAGCACTCGGTCTCTTGAATTCCTTCTTGGAGCTGCTTCGGGGTCGCGGGCGGACGGGTCGGCCTCAGCCCCTTCACCGGGTTATTTTATAAAAGAGGAAGAGAAAAAAGTCTCTGGCGTAGGAGATGCGGAGTTTTGCAATTTTTTTTTTGGCGGGCAGAGGTTTGAAAAGATTTTTTAAAAGACGTTTTTGGATTTTAAAAATAATAAATGTGTTTTCCGAGCCCAGAGCACACACTCCGCACTCTCAGCACTAACCGCGGGAGAGAAGGGGCTAATTTTTGTATTTTTAGTATGGACGGGGTTTCGCCTTATTGGCCATGCTGGTCTGGAACTCCTGACCTTAGGTGATCCGCTCCGCCTGCTGGGATTACAGGTGTGAGCCACCACACCCACCTTTTCTTTTCTTTTTTCCGTTTTCTTTCTTCCTTTCCTTTCGGCTCTTTCTTCCTTTCCTTTCGGTTCTTTCTTTCCTTTCTCTCCAGTCCCCCGTCTCCCTTTCCCCCTTCCCCCTTCCCCATTCCCCTTCCTCTTCCTCCTTTCCCTTCCTTTTTCAGAAACAGGGTCTTGCTTTGTTATCCCGGCTAGAGTGCAATGGGATGATCATAACTGACTGCAGCCTCCATCTCCTGGGCTCTGGCCATCCTTCCACCTCAGTGTGCCATGCAGCTAGGACTACAGAACTCTACCACCACACCCAGCTAATTCTTCCATTTTTTTTTTTTTGGTAGCCACAGGGTCTTGCTATGTTGCTGCAGCTGGTCTGGTTAACTCCTGGCCTCAAACCGTCCTCCCACCTCAGCTTCTCAAAATGATGGGATTACATGTGTGAGCCACCATGCTTGGCCTCTGGCATTTTCTACTAATCCTTTCTGCACACACTTTGAGTGGTTCTCCAGGTGAGTAGATCTCCAACATCAGCGTCTTAGCATCACCTGGGAACTTGCTAGACCTGCAGTTCTTAGGAGTGCCCCAGACCTATTGAATCAGAAACTCTGGGGGTGGGGCCCAACTATCTATGTGGATTTTAGTTTGTTTATTTTTGTGACAGGGTCTCTTCCCTGTTTCCCAGGTAGACTGCAGTGGTATGATCAAAGACCACTGCAGCCTCAAACGCCTGGGCTCAAGTGATCTTCTTGCCTTAGCTAGGATTATAGGTGCACGACTACGTCCAGCTAATTTCAAAATATTTTTGTAGAGACAAGGCCTTGTTTTGTTGCCCAGACTGGTCTCAAACTCCTGGCCTCAAATGATCCTTTCATCTCGGCTTCCAAAAGCCCTGTGATTACAGGCAGTGAGCCACTGTGCCTGACCTGTCTGTGTTTTACTAAGCTCTTCCGGTGACTCTGATGCTTGCTAAAGTTGGAAAATCGTTGTATTGGAATACTAATACTTAAGCCCTATCCCAGACAAATGAATAGAATCTCAAATGTGGAGTAACTAAAAAATTTCCTCAGGTGGCCGTAATGGGTAGCTAGCTTTAAGAATCTGGGCTGGTCTAACTAAAATGCATCCCCAGTTTTGTTTCTTCTCAAGGTTTTCTGATTCTCTGCCTTTTCATGCTGTTTGATCTACCTTGGGTGCCCAACTTTCATTCCCACTAACAGGTAAGAAAGCTGAGATTCAAAGAGATGAAGTTACTTGTTCCAGAAAAGAATCTGGATGTTGGCAGAGCTAGTTCTCAAAACCAGTGGGTTTTCAATCCCTGATCAGTGCACTTTCTGTTTTCCCATGCTGCCACTTCTCGTGATTTGTGTGCAAATAAGCATCTTCAAATAAGCCCTAAGTATCTTCAGTGATTTATAAATGTCACTTAGTAGATGAGGTCCAAATGTAGGGGAATGAAGAATGAATGAATGAATGAGTATAGAACCTCTGCTGCTTCAAGTAAGTGTTCAGCCATTTACCACAGATGGGCAGAGCTGCATCAGCAACATGCTGACCATACTGCAAGTCAGTCATTGAGCATTAAACTTACAGAAGGCCAGGCATTTTGGCTCATGCTTGTAATCCCAGCACTTTGGGAAGTCAAGGCAGGAGGATTGCTTGAGCCCAGGAGTTTGAGCCCAGTCTAGGCAACATGGTAAAACCCCATCTCTACAAAACAAACAAACAAAAAAACCAAAAAGTTATCTGGGCATGATTGCATGGGCCTGTAGTCCCAGCTATCTGGGAGACTGAGGTAGAAGGATTACTTGAGTCTGTGAGGTGGAGACTGCAGTGAGCTGTGATCATGCTACTGAACTCCAGCCTGGGTGACAGAGTGGGACCATGTCTCAAATAAATAAGCAAGCAAGCAAACACACACATGAAAAACCAAGGCTATAGAGTATCCAGAAAAGATGGCGTTCATGGTCTCAAGGGATAACTACAACATCCAGCATTAGCACTTTTATGAATGGACTTTAATACTATGGTGCTTCTAAGAGACTCTCATAATTAACTGTTGGTGGTGGTACTGATTGATTGATTGATTGATTGAGACCGAGTCTCACTCTGTTACCCAGACTGGAGTGCAGTGGTGTGATCTCAGCTCACTGCAACCTCTGCTTCCCGGGTTTAAGTGATTCTCGTGTCTCAGTCTCCTGAGTAGCTGTGACTACAGGCGTGAGCCACCATGTCTAGCTAGTTTTTGTATTTTTAATTGAGATGGGGTTTCACCATGTTGACTAGGCTGGTCTTGAACTTCTGACCTCGGGTGATCTGCCTGCTTCGGTCTCCCAAAGTGCTAGGATTACAGGTATGAGCCACCGCACCTAGCCGGTGTTATCAATTTAGTTTACGCTGTCCTGGGGTTTGCTGCCAATTGCTTCCATTTTCTATCTGTAAAATAAAACAACTGGTACTGTTTCTATCTCACAGATAAAAAAATTTTTTTTGTCTTTTTAGACAGGATCTCACTCTTGTCATCCAGGCTGGAGTGCAGTGGCACGATCACAGCTTCCTGCATCCTCGACTTTCTGGGCTCAAGCAATCCTCCTACTTCAGTCTCTTGAGTAGCTGGGACCACAAGTGTGAGCCCACCCCCAACTAATTTTTGTAGGGATGAGTTTTCACCATGTTGTCCAGGCTGGTCTTGGACTCTGGTTTCAAATGATCCTTCTGTATTGGCTTCCCAAAGTGCTGGGATTGCAGGCATGAGCTACCACATGTGGCCTACACACACAGTTGGAATGAAAGAAAACTCCTCTGAACATGAGTGTGGATGCTTCAGCAGAAATATGCAGTGCAGCTAACTCTGAGGTAATGGTTGTATTTTTACTACAAATCAAATATTCAGCTGTAAAATTACCCCTTTTTACTCCATAAAACCAAACATTTGGCTCAGAGGTTTTTTCTTCTTCTTTTTATTTGTTTTTGAGGCAGGTTCTTGCTCTGTCATCCAGGCTAGAGTGCAGTGGTGGATGGCTTCCTGTAGCCTCTACCTCCTGAGCTCAAACAGTCCCCCCCACTTAGCCTCCTGAGTAGCTCGGACTACGGGTGTATGCCACCATGGCTGACTAATTTTTAATTTTTTGTAGAGACTGGGTCTCACTGTATTGTCTTGGTTGGTGTCGAATTCCTGGGCTCATGCAATCCCCTCTATCTTGGCCTTCCAAAGTGCTGGGACTACAGGCATGAGCCACAGCACCCAGCCGCAGAGTTTTCAGACCAGTTCAAAATTTGCTTCTTTTTTGAAATTTGCATCACTGATTTCACTTAAAAAATTACATTTCAAGACTTGAGTTGTAGGACGAAGTTGGATATCGCGATTGAGAACAAGTTCTGGAGCCTAACATTCTGAGTTTGAATTCAGGCTCTTCAGTATAATAGTGATGAATGCTTGGGCACAATGTGTAGATCTGTCAAGTATTGAGAGACCTGCTGATTACTAATGAGATGTATGGGCCATTTATCTTTTTCTTCTGGGCTGTTGCTACTTATTTCTTTTGCTTATTTTTCTATTAGATGCTTTTCTTTTTGAATCACAGCTATTCATATATTCTGAATTCCAATTCTTTGCCAGTTGTATTTGCTATATACATCTTCTGTTTGTGGTTAATCTTTTTCCTCTCCGAATGGTGCCTTTTCATACTGTCCAATGTATTAATTTTTCTTTTCTTTTTTCTTTTTTTTTTTTGGTAGAGA